ATGAATCGTGTTCACAGATACGATTCTCAACAGTTCTAGAATGGTTCTAGAATGGAACTGAAGGGATCATAATGAGACTGAAATAGACCAATTCTGTCCCAAGAGGCCCCTGCACTTCCAAGTCCCCACTCTTAAGTTTTGCTCATGGGAAACATAACCAAGAGAGGCAGAAGGGAGCTGGTCGCTGACGGTGCCGAGGCTCTGCAAGAAGGCCCGGCTGCCGCCCTCCACACCAGACTCTACGAGGCCATCATGAGGGAGGACTGCGCGGCGATCCAGGTGCTCCTGAGAAGCCACCCCGTCAACCAGCCCATGACCATTCTGGCCAACTCCACCAGCTACCGACTACTTCTGAACCAGGTACCCTCCCCTCTGCTCTGTCACTTGTAGGGAAAAGATGCCATGCTTCGGAAGGCCTACCACCTAGCTGCTGTGAGCTCATTAAACCTCCCCGCGGTCCCCGCAGTCCCCACCACCCCCACGGCGGAACACTTCACCTCCAGCACCCTGCACGCCTCCCAACTGCCCCACGTACGCTGATGTGCGGAAAGACAAGAACCCGTTTGGCTGGTGGAACATTAATGTTGTCCTCTCAAATATACCAGTGGTGATTACATCTGTGTGAATAATTATTTTTCCCCTTTTTTGCATATGCTTTTTCATTTTCTAAATTTTTATACAATGATTATTACCTTTAGATTTAATTTTTTTTCCCCAAAAGTCACTGTCTCCTGTACCCCGCCTTCTTCCCTTATCTGGCAGTCACGCCGTGAAAAGTCACTACTTATTAGAGATGTATTTTAAGAACCAGAATAAACAGCTCTGCTCATCATGGAAGACACGCTGCATTATCTTTGAAACCCTGGAAATTCAGGTTTTACTACTGATACTATGACTTTGGCAAAGTCTTAAAAAACACAAAACCTACTTGTCAATCACCCTGTGGGTTAATTTAAGGACTAAGTGACTTAGTAGCAATTACCATTACTTTTACACTATGAGCTCTCCACAAGAACCAACTTGCAAAGCTTTACGTAAGTTATTTCTGTTGCATTGGTAAATCTACATTATATGTAAAACACAGATTTTATATGACTCTCACTGGTTTGGGGTCTTTTAAAACAGTCAAAAAGAAAATTTCAATGCACATACCAGAAAAATACTGAACTGAGATACTAAGTACACTTATTTCCTCTGACACAGCAGGCTGACACTGCACAGGCCTCCTTGTAACGTAGTCTTTCTCCCCCAAAGCAGATGCAGTCCATCATCCCCATTCATCTAGCTGCCGAATACCGCAAGGCACGAAGTTTGCTTTGTTTGTTAGAACACGGTGCCGACCCAGAAGTCAGGTAAATTAACTCAACAGCGATCAGTTCTCAGTGAGGATATGCATGATTTAGATGTTACTCTCCCCGGTAATGTCTGGACTCACCCATTCTTCGGGGTTTAGGGACTACAAAATACCATGACCATGTCTTGAATGAACCAGTTTCTTTACTGACTAGATGAGATACTCGGAAAAACTGGCAGTAATGCAGGAACACAAACCAGTCAGCCCAATTCAAGCATCCTGAGAATTAAGCACTAAGCAATGATGCTGCAGAAAATGCATGAAGTGTTGGTCACAGCCCTCAGGGAGCTTAAAACCCTCAGTTAGGTATGGAAAATAAGTACATAGAAATAGACAATGGATTTTCTTTTTATTACCCATCACTAGAAAGTATACTTCATGAAAGAGTAGTTACCTCGTTCACCAATATGTCTTCACCACCTAAACCGATGCCTGATACTAAGTGCCAATAAATAGGATCTAATGAATGGAAGAATCACATGGTGTAAAAACAATATGACTTCTTGCCCCCATAAGTTTAACAGAAGGTAAACCCCCAAATCCTCAGCATGCTCCAGAAGAGCCCCCTGGCCTGTCTGGCTGGAACCCTCACCCACGCACGGCCCTGCCCAGCTCTGCAGACCCTCTCCCAGTCCTCCACGACTGGACATCACCGATGCACACCCCTCCTCCACAGGGGCTCCTCCGTACACCCTCTAGGGTGCTCATACCTCTTAGAACTTTGCCCATGTGCAATACTGATCTAGTTACTTAAATATGTTTCGTGTCTTTCATGCTAGACTGTCGAGCCCTGCAAAAGCAGGGACTCCGTGCTGTTTACCATTTCCCTAGCATGGGGCCTTACGCTAAATAAATATACATAAACTGAAAATCATTTTCAAATTTCAGTGGGTCAGATGTTTGTAATAAACCTTCCCTTTTCTCTGCCAAAATAAAGGAATTTTGGAAGCATCCCTGAGAGATTTCAGTAGAGAAGCACATCAGGGCCGGTATAAAACCCTCATGGCACCTGAGTCCCCCCTCTAAAATGCTGTGATATCCCGAGAAACTAATGCAGATTTTCAAACACTTCTTTGAAGTAGGCGAGGGGAATCACTTTCAATAAACATTGCCTTCTTGGGGCGCCTGGGTGGCTCAGTCGTTAAGCGTCTGCCTTCGGCTCAGGTCATGATCCCGGGGTCCTGGGATCGAGCCCCGCATCGGGCTCCCTACTCAGTGGGAAGCCTGCTTCTCCCTCTCCCGCTCCCCCTGCTTGTGTTCCCTCTCTCACTGTCTCTAAGAAATAAAATCTTTAAAAAAAATAAACATTGCCTTCTTAAGTACTAATTCTTTGCGTAGAACCGTTTCCATTGTGAATATAGTGTAATCTGCGATCAATAACTGTTCTAGGGACGCAAGAGGCCTCACCACGCTCCACCTGATGCTCCTGCACTGGCCAATCACTTCTACCACATGGACAAAACCGGGGAACAGAATCCAAAGGATCCTGACAGACATTCAGAGTAACGCTGTGATGTGTCTCCGTATTTTGTGCGAACATGGAGCTCAGGTCAATGCTCGAGTGGACAACAGCAACAAACAGTCACCCCTGCACCTGGCCATAACCTACGGGACCTATCCGGTTCTCTCCATTTTAGCCCAAAATGGTGCCCACGTCAATGCCATTAACGAATCCAGCATGACACCCCTTCACATGGCTGCCGACATACTGAATAAGGAGATGATGGAAACACTGATTGCCTGTGGTGCAAACGTTAACTGCGCCGTAGCCTCCACTGGGAACACGGCCCTTAAGCTGGCGGTGTGCACCGCATCGAGCAAAGCAGGCCGACTGCTGGCGGCAGGGGTGAGCTGCATCCGGTTGCTGCTAATTCACGGAGCCAAAGTAAATGCCCGGGACCACGAAGGTCAAAGAGCTATCCACGAGGCATGTTTTGGAGGCAGAGAGGCAATCATCAACCTCCTGCTTGACTCTGAAGCAAACGTTAACGTACTAACAAGCCGCGGGGAGTCTCCGATACACATGTACCTCCAGCGCAGTTCCAACATAAGGGACACGGGGCTTCTCGCCAGACTCCTTTATCACTCTTATCCTCTGAGACTGACCAATAACCAAGGAGTTCTACCTGCAGGAATCATGCTACCAGAATTCCACCTCTTAAGGGAAACCCTAATAAAGTTATCTCAAAAACCCTTATCCCTAGAGGACATCTGTAAAAGAAACATCAGAAATATTTATGGTGAGAAATACAAACAACACTTAAAGCAACTTCTCCCAGTGAAGATTTGGAACTCTCTATACAGTTATTATGACCTAGCTTACCTCTTGAAATAGGACCTCAAAATTTCACCAGCCATAGAATTTCAGTAACTCACACCACATTTTCTGGCTAGACTCGTATCCAGAAAACACTTAACTCATCACCTTGTACACCCCAGATGTACAAACTGGTTCTTAAACTTTTTTCAAAAAATAAAATGATTTGCACATTAACTTTTCGTTCCCAAATATTCCTTTAAAAACATTTTTCACAACGTAATTTCTTTGTTCAAAAAGTAAGCAAATTAAAACTCTTCTGCCAAAGAAGTAAATCTATTTTCTCTCTTTGATAGTCTTTTGTGGATAAAAACTGGAATAATCATAGACTTTTTAAACAGCAGAAAAAAATTTCCCATGTTAAATTTCCTTTAAGTTACGTAATTGTAGAAACAGATTTTACCTCTAAGGCTACAATAACATATGAGGATTTTTGTCAGCATTAAATACATTTAGCCTCATCTATTATATGAGTAACTCGTAGCACACTCACTACCTGAAAAACACTACTATTCCTCCATAGAGAATTTTTGAATGCCCAAAGATCACTGCCTTTAAATTCAATCTAGGGGCACCTGGGTGGCTCAGTTGGTTAAGCGTCTGCCTTCAGCTCAGGTCATGATCCCAGCGTTCTGGGATCGAGTCCCGCATCGGGTTCCTTGCTCAGCAGCAAGCCTGCTGCTCCCCGCTTGTGCTCTCTCTCTGACAAATAAAGTCTTAAAAAAAAATAAAATAAATTCAATCTAAAGTTCTGGACTCATGGGATGATGATTTATATAAAAATAATGATAACCCCCTAAGTAAATGAAAGAGGATACATAATTTCATTTAACTCAGTGAACCAACACCACGTCCTCCCTGATACAAGGCACTTACCTTCAGATCTCTGTGTACAATTCCCATGTTATGTATGTAAAATACACCTTCCACCAATTCTTGAAAAATTTTTGTTGCAACACTGGCCATGACATAAGGACCTTGAAGGAAAAAAGGAAGTTTTATTTTTCTTTTTACTCATTACATTAACATCTAAATGTTACATAGTTCTAAATACATTAACGTAATTCAGATTTTCAACAAAGTCAACACACCTAAATGGTTTAAAATAAGCAGGAAGGGCTCCTCAGCTTGCAAAGAAACCATCACAAACTTAGTGCCCTAGTGAATGGACTTGGTGTCACGAATTTCACCAAGAGCCCCTGTATTACTTTGTAAACCATTCTCAGGCATAAGATGGCTGGATTAAACTAGGTTTAAATCTCCTTCAACCCCTGACACTCTGGGGTTTAACACTGATAAATCTGGTGTCCTAAGCCTACTGTGGATTAAAGACATTGTTACAAATAATGCAATCAGAAAAAAGATAAACGGGGCGCCTGGGTGGCTCAGTTGGTTAAGCGACTGCCTTCGGCTCAGGTCATGGTCCTGGAGTCCCGGGATCGAGTCCCGCATCGGGCTCCCTGCTCCGCGGGGAGTCTGCTTCTCCCTCTGACCCTCCTCCCTCTCATGCTCTCTGTCTCTCATTCTCTCTCTCTCAAATAAATAAAAAAAATCTTTAAAAAAAAAAAAAGATAAAAGATAAACTATGTTAGCTCAAGGAGTGAGCTCCCATTACATGGAAGATTTGGAATGCTGTATTTTCCAAAAATGACTGACAAATGAAAAACGAAGTAATGGGGAAACAAGTAAATGGTTTAATTCATCTATTAACATGATGATATAATGACTGACTTTAGGGGTGGGAAGGTTTTGTAGGAACTAAAACAAATTGCTAAAGCAAAAAACCCTCGTTTTCCAGCTAAGTAAATTTGGTGATATCATAATAAGAACTTAATAGCTCTTGTCTCCTCAGCCGTTTTACACCGTAAATACGTAACACAGAAATACAACATGCTCCCTTTCCTCCTGGATGAGCCTACCTTGCTGTGCAGCTCACCTAAGCCACACTCTCCTCCGGCACCCCCCAGCATGCAACTCAGAGACCTCAAGTCCCCAGGACTTGAGAAGACAGGAAACTCTGCGTGTCTATGTGCATAAACACAACGGTCCCACTTACAAGTGCCGCCGCTACCATGCCCCTCACACTGGAGCGACAGCCTCCTGTCTACAGATGGAGGGCTTTGGGACTCTCACAGCCATTCAGATCAACCCCCTTCCTCTGGTCTGTCTGTAACAGGTTCTCATTTTAACCCACCTAACACATCCCAACAGCAGGCCCCTGTACACGGGCCTGATCAGGTGAGAACAGCTTCCGTTCCCTCAGCAACGCATCCTTTGCATGGAGCGCTTCAATCCTCACACCCTATCAAATGGGATGACCCACATTTCACAGTGGAGGAAACAGGCTGAGAGCAGTTTCCTGACTTGCCCCAAACCTCACCGCCAGTGAGTGCTAGAGCCAGGATTCAAACCTGGGTCTACCATGTATGGATTGTTGGGGATGACTGATATAAAACTATACTCGATAGGAAGGTAGGCAGCCCGTGGGGAATACTACCAAGTTAAACCTTTTTATTTTAAAATACTTTTAAAAGAAAATTATGCATCACGATAGCAGTAACCTCCATATCTTGCCCTTCCTGTTTTCATAGGCTTATTGTCCTGGATGGTGAAGATCAGAGTTACCCCAATCTATCGTGAGGGACTCATTACTTACTTTCCAAATGGAAGTTTAAAGATCAACAACTGCATACAGGACCTTAATAAACCATCTTCTTTTTACAGAGACATCTGCACCTAGCACTATGATGCTCACACGGCAGAGAATACAACTTTACAGGAAACTGAAAATACCCACTCATTACTTGCCACGACTGAACTAAGCAAAGTCTGGCATGTCCTGATTACACAGTAAACCAGAGAAGCAGGGAGCGTCACGGAGATGCTTGAGTGCTTGAGGGAGGCATTCTGTTTCTGCCTCCCCTGGAAGCTAATCTAAGATTCTGGGTGTGTTAGATGATGTATATTTTAGACCAAATAAAGGGTTAGAGTGTCAATAGTCGTGAACAGCAAATGATTAATATTTAGCTAGGTCTTGGGAGCCTGGGTGGCTCAGTTGGTTAAGCGACTGCCTTCGGCTCAGGTCATGATCCTGGAGTCCCAGGATCGAGTCCCGTATCGGGCTCCCTGCTGAGCAGGGAGTCTGCTTCTCCCTCTGACCCTCCCCCCTCTCATG